GAGCCCAGCAGGTCGAGGCTGTAGTGGCCGGGAGCATGCCACTGCACTCCAGTCTGGGTGATGGAGTGAGACTCCAACTCAAAAAAAAAATTATTTTATTTTTTTATTGTAGAGAGAACCCCTGGACTCAGGCAATCGTCTTGCCTCCGCCTCCTTAGATATTGGGATTACAGGCATGAGCCATTGCACTGGGCTATTATTTTTAGAGACGGGGTCTTGCTATGTTGCCCAGGCTGGTCACAAACTCCTGGGCTCAAGCAATACTCCTGCCTTAGCCTCCCAAGTAGCGGGACTACAGGTGTGTGCCATCGCATCCAGGTCGGACAAGTATTATTTTTCTTCTTCACTTTTCCTCAAAAATGCCTTTCCTGCCCCTGCACATAGACTGCCCCCCTGACTTGGCCCCTCTGGTCCATTTTCATCCACCCCAAGCCTGGTTTTAAATCCCACCTCTCCCAACTCTTAGGACATCCTGAACCCTTCTTGGAACATAACTAATGACCACTCAGCTGGCCTATCAGGTCCCAAGTACAGAAGCCAGGGTCCCCCAGCATGGACTGCACAGGCCTGGGCACACCCCTAAGCAGAAACAACCTCTGTAGGCAGCTGCTGGGGAGAACTGGTCCTGCCACCTGTATTCTCCTTCCCCAGATTTGCAAAAGGTCCAACACTCCACTATTAAGAGCCTCCGCTTTGGGAAGATAAAGGAGAAAACACAAAGTGTGCCTTCAAGGTAACAATTAGAGACCTGTCAATGACACATTGCCCGGGGAACCAGGTGCTGCATTAGAAGAGAGATGGGGTCTCACTAGAGCCGGTGTTTGATGAAAAGCAGAGTGGGGTGGGATTTGGCGGGGAGTGGGGGAGAGAGGCAAAGTCTGGGGTGTGGAGGGAGAAGCTGGTTAGAGCAGAAGTGGGAAGTCCCACCCCTCAAGCCACAAGAGTCCCCTGGGGTGGCTGGTCCCTGGGACAGCTCCTTGGGCAGGCCAGTTCTGCAGTGGTCCCAGGCTCTTGGCAGACTTCTTTTCTGGCTGCCAGAGCCCCTTTCTTGCTCCCTGCGTCCCCAAGGGCCAGGATGGACCCAGGGCAGGCCTGACCACATCATGTGCCTGGAACACAAGTGGCCGAAAGCTGAGCTGGCACCGCAGTCACTTCGACCAACACAGGCTGTGTCTTCGCGGCTGCTGACATTCCATCAGTATGAGTGGCTGGAGCGGAATTTCTCGACCTGACCACATCCTTTCTGGACTGGGGCAAGTGCTCCAACAGCTCCAGAAACTCTCGGGCCGGATCCTTCACTCCCGGATCCTGGGAGGTTCCAGATGAGCTGCTGAGATTTCCTGGGTCTGATAGTGCAGCTGCCAGTGGGATCTTCCTCCACAAAGCGCCCAGCCTGACTGTCCACGCCTTCAGCCCAAACGCCTCTGCGTGGCCTCCGCCCTCCATTCCTGCCACCCTCCCTGTGACCTTGGATGCTCGTGCACTGATCACATGGGTATTAGCAGCTCCCTGGACCTCGGGACAGGCTCCTAGACTCACTGTGCTTTGGAGACTTGCCCTTCCCCCTCCAACATCGGGCCAGCTCCTCGCCAGATGTCACCCTCTGACTTTCTCTGTGTGTGCCCTTGGGGGCTGCACACACTCCCCCCCAGGGCTGCCTTCACTATGTCAGGATGTGGTTATCGGCATCCCTGCTGGCTTGCCTCTAATTCACTGCTAAACTCTCCCCTGCTTGCAACAGGGATTAGCAAGCAACTCCACTCCCTCTGAGGGCACAACTCAGCTGCTCTTCTAAGAAGCATGCCCCTCCTCCCATCCCACCCACGGGAATGGGTGGCTGCTGTCCCCCCACCCACACGCTCTTGGCCCAGTTCTTCAGAAAGCCTCAGGGAGTCCTGGAGTGCCGTCATGGCTGGTGGGCCATATTTTGGGTCCCTCACAACCAGGGGGAGACAGAGCTGAGGCCAAAGCCCCATCAGAATGCTGTGCTTCCTGGGAGAGGATATTGCTCCCCAGGACAGAGTGGGCAAGTTTGGGCTCCTCTCACTTTGCTTACCTGCCTTATATACTGAATGAGTCTAAAACATCGCTTGATTAAAGGATTCTGATGCTTAAAAAAAAACAAAACTATTTCCGACGGTTGCAGTAGCTCACGTCTGTAATCCCAGCATTCTGGGAGGCAGAGACAAGATAATTGACTGAGTCCAGGGGTTCGGGACCAGCCTGGGTAACTTGGTGAGACCTCATCTCTACAATAAATCAAAAAAATTGGCTGGGCGTGGTGGTATGCACCTATAGTCCCAGTTACTCAAGAGGCTGAGCTGGAAGAATTGCCTGAGTCCAGCAGGTCAAGGATGCTGTAGCAGTGAGCATGCTACTGCACTCCAACCTGGGGGACAGTGAGACTCCAGCTCAAGCCCCCCCAAAAAAACCCCCAAAACGGTTTCAATCCCATAGCTCCAGTTCTCCTCCAAAAAGCCCCTACATGACCACCCTGTCAGTCTCTGAACGTCTGGCACTGTGTTCAGTTCGCACTTAATTTCATTTTACACACATATATATATATATATTCGGGGCTCAGGACATGCCACCCCAAAATATATGACTGCAGGAAACCAGAATATGCCACCCCAAAATATACTTTGGCATATTTTGAGCTGGTTATTCCGAGAAACTGCAGGCACAGGAGTAGCTCTGAAAAGCTGCCCTTTTGTAAAAGAAAGATCCATTTCTAAGAGAAATCTACATGAGTAAAGGTCTCTAACAGGAAGAGGGCTGCTCCTGCCAGCTTTCCTCACCGGAGCCACTTCTATCTGCATAGCAAGGCGACCTTTATTCACCATACATTTCTGTCGCTTGCTAGCTTGCCCTCCCACAACCTGTCTCCCTTACCACCAACCGCCCCCCACCCACAGCCCCGCAGCCCGAATCCCCACTCC